ACTTCGAGTCTTTTATTTCGATCCGCGAAGGTCTTCCGTTGAATAATATCAGGTTACGGTGCCCAGTAACGTTGACCGCGAGTGTCGGAAGTGAAATTATGTCGGAAGAAGAGAAGCACGAGCGGTTCCTCCTGCCGTTGTTCGACGGAACGAACTTTACGGCATGGAAATTTCGCATGCACGTATTGCTGGAGGAACAGGCTGCTAATTTGCCCGACCTGCAGAATGCAGCGGGCGACAGCAACGAAGTGAAGAACGCGAAGTCAGTGAAGCGACAGAAACGCGCGAAAAAGGACAAAAGATGCAAGTCAATATTGGTGTCTCGCATCCACGACTCCCAATTGGAATACGTGCAAGAGAAGACGACGCCAAAGGCGATTTGGGAAGCTCTGGTTCGCGTTTTCGAGCGGAAGAGCATCGCCAGCCGCATGCACCTTAAGCGACAGATGCTGTCGCTGCGGCTGGAATCTGGACACTTGCAGGACCACTTCCTCCGGTTCGATCGCCTGGTAAGGGAGTACCGGGGAACGGGCGCTGTCATCGAGGAGATAGACATCATTTGCCACCTGCTGCTTACCCTCGGCCCGGCCTACTCGACCGTCGTGACGGCTCTAGAGACCATGTCCGAGGAAAATTTAACTCTAGAGTTCGTCAAGTGTCGGCTTTTGGACGAGGAAATAAAGCAAGTGCGGAATTCTATTCGCCGAAGATGGAATCTGCTGCGTTTGTCGGAGCGAAGAAGAAAAACGAGCAGAAGAAGAAGAAGCAACTTCGATGTTATGGCTGCCACGAAGAAGGGCACAAAGTGTCGGATTGCCCACGTAGCCAACACCAACAGCAGAAGAATGTGAAAGTGTGTAAACAATCCAAAGCGAATTTGGCAGGCGATGGTGCGGTGGTGTTTGTGAGTGCGACGGACTGCGTCGATTGTGTGGATCGTCATACGGTGCAATGGTTTGTGGATTCCGGTTGCACCGACCATATGGCGAAGGACAGGGAGCTATTTGATGAGCTCGTTCTACTGGAAAACCCGGTGGAAATCGCGGTGGCAAAGAACGGACAGTCCATCGTAGCGCACCACTCCGGGACGGTAAGGTTGCAATCCGTCGTCAACGGTAAGTGCATCCCCTGTATTGTGACGAACGTATTGTACGTCCCCACTTTGCGGTTCAATCTTTTTTCTGTGTTGAACGTGGAGAAGAAAGGAATGCGAGTTGTGTTTGATAATGGACGTGTGACTATTCACAATGGTTCGAAAGTTGTTGCTACTGGTGTGCGTCGCGGAAAACTCTACGAACTGGATTTGAATAAGGTCGAAGACTGTTAAAGTGCGTCAGTGTTGACATGTGGTCGTATCACGAAGGAGCTTGAATTGTGGCACCGCCGGTTCGGCCACTTGAACTTGAAGCAGCTCGAACAGTTGGTCAGTACAGACATGGTCGACGGCATGCGGCCGATGACAAAAAGTTCGGACAAAAGTGTAGTGATTTGCGAGCCATGCATTTTCGGTAAGCAAACGCGAAAGCCATTTCCCCCGCGCGTAGGCAAACGATCATCGCGAGTGCTCGAGGTCGTCCACTCGGACGTGTGTGGACCGGTGACGCCAATCGGGCGAAACGGTGAGCGCTTCTTCGTCACATTCATTGACGATTGGAGCCACTTCCTCATGGTTTTCCTATGCACTGTCTGGTTCTGCAGAAGAAAAGAAGAAGCTGGAGCAGACAAAACTGATATCGCAACAGGCAGCTTGGGTGGATCCTTCCAGTTCCGCTACGGAGGAGCAAATGCGTACCGAGTATGGCCGGGTTCTGTTTGTTGGCGTCCAACAATGATGTCTTCTCGGTCGCGGATGACTCTGACTTTAGTTAGAAGCATGGACTGAAGAAATCTGTAGCAGCAATTGCAACAAGCGCGAATCATTGACTGCTCAACATCGTTTACTTGTACGCAAATGTTAACCCTATGTGTTCATCCATAATCATTTTGGCCTCTGGCCTTTCATTATACAAAAGAAGTGCAGTCGACATAATGACATGCTGTTTGACAACAGGCTCTCCCTTTCAATTTTCGTTAGAGAAAAAGAGATAACAGGTGGTTCCCCCAACAATCAATACGAAACTAACGATTTTAAATTGGCTCACCACTTTAGTAGCCTATTGGTCCCAAGCAAACGATTAACGTACCCTATTCTAGTCAAAATTCTAGTACTATACTATGTTTGTTTTGATTCGCTATGAAAGTTTGACAGATAAAATGAGGGGTGATTGGTTTTTCCTATGTTTCGAGGGGTGAATCGAGTAGCTTGGGACCGAAGATAGTACCAGAGCTGAGCCAAAAAGTTGAGCACGTTATTTCGGGACCTTCTAGTCTTAGAGTTACCTCTATGGTTCCCCCTACTTTAAGCTAGTACATATGAGTAGATAGTATTGTCACAAACGAAGTGACAGACGGAGCGGCTCGAAAACTTTGGTGACTAACCTGCTATTGCAATTTTTCAGTGTACCACATGGCAACACCACTACTACTGGATTGTACCACATGGCAACACTACTACTAGATTGAACTAGCATTTTCACCAAATGTACTAGAATGTTTTGGTTCTATCTCTTTCACTCTACTCAAAACTGAAATGCATAAAAAAATTACAAAATGATACGCACTCTTTGCACACTGTCAAAGAATCATTGTACACAAAATCAACTTTGTTCAAATCAAAACAAAAAACTAACCCATCTGGTGGATGATGGCACAAGCTTCTAAGAAAATTCTATTACAGTGAACCACATTATTTTAATGGATTTCTTCGCCAGTTAGTCGTCTGTCACTTCGTTTGTGGTATTGTCGTGAGGTATACTCGAAAATTTTAAATGTAAGTGCGTCAAATCAAATTTCGAGCCGCTCCGTCTGTCACTTCGTTTGTGGTTTAAGTATAGTGGAGCGAAAATTTCAAATTTTGCATCACTCTTATATATATATATATATAAGAGTGATGCAAATAACTCTTATTTATATATATATATATATATATATATATATATATATATATATATATATATATACATATATATAAGGTTCAGCAGGGACCGTCGTCCATACGATATCAATCTTCAATTCTAGTAGCCGAGTACTAAAGGGGCACCCACAATGGATACGTTGGCGTTCCGTTGACGTAAATTTGATCCAAGGCTTAACTCAAATCCACGCAAACGCAACGTCATTGTGAGTGGCCCTTTAGAACTCGACTCCACTACTCCGGTCAATCATATCCACTTACTAGCAGCCCGTACCATAGCGCCATGCTCATAGTTTGTCTGATAAGTGTATCTGCAGCATTAGTTAATTTTAGTCAATAGACTGCTAAAGCCGTCATTTCCCCTAGTAGAAAAAAAACGTGAAAATTGTTGAGTGTTGTGATGGTATCAATATTAGTTCGAAGAAGTCTGAGAAGGAACTCTGATAAATATATCAGAGTTCCTTCTCAGACTTCTTCGAACTAATATTGATACCATCACAACACTCAACAATTTTCACGTTTTTTTTCTACTAGGGGAAATGACGGCTTTAGCACTTTTTTATCTGTTATTGTCAGGGAGGTAAATGAATTCCTTGGGCGCTGATTTTTGGCATGAAGGTGCATCATATTGTAGAGCATCGTTTGTTAAAAAATGAACAAAAATTACCGAAGCCGTAATTTCCCCTACGTAATTAAAATACAACACAAATTCTTCTTTATCAACACATTAGATGAAACAGAAAAAAAAGTTGTTGAATATTACTTCCATACTGCTGCAACCGGCGTAGCGTAGCTCGAAATGAAAATATTTTTCATGCAACCGTTCGTACAAAAAATGTTTCGTTTTGATGTAGGTAATATTGTATCTGCTTTTGGGTATTATACATCAGGTTAAATTACGATGATCGATTTCACATGTGTTTTTGCTGCGTATCGTTATAGGTCACCATCCACTGTATAATTAACTTTATCATTTTTTCTATTAACTTGCACATTATAGCAAATCAAGATCAAGGATACCACTGGTATTAACTGTAATTATAATATTGGCATTTGTTGTAGTTGAATATAAATAATGATAAAACATATGCAGTGAGTGGTGACCATCCGAATTCTGTTTTAATTTATTGCTATTTTTGGCAAGAAGGTCGACAATTAATTCCATGTTTCGTTTAATCTTTTCGCAGAAATAGTCCTATCGATGGCATGCGGCTACTACAAAAGCTACGAGTTATCTTCAGCGCTCATTCAAAGGCTGCAGTTTATTCTAATCCAGGTTCGCATTTGGCTCCCATGCACCGACATTTTTTCTTCTGGGTGTTATCTGAACAAGCATACACGCTATTTCAAACTACCCAAATTTGGGTAGAATCCACCCAGATTGGTCAAAACTGAACCTACCTAAAAATGGGAGTGACAAGTTGACAAATGAACAAAGTCGATCAGATTCATGTCGATGTTGTTCATTTGTCAACTAGTTTACCCATTTTTGGGTAGGTTCAGTTTTGACCGATCTGGGTGGATTCTACCCAAATTTGGTAGTTTCGAAATAGCGTGTAACAAGTTACAAGAATCTGTTTTCAGCGCTGTAAGCGATGCAACAACATGCGCTATAAAAAAAATTCACTTTATAGATTTACGAATATATCTCGCGCAACAAATTAATGTGTATGGCGAGTAAAAAATATGGCGTGTGACATAACGGCAATAAAAAAAGCACCATTGACTAACCGATGCTCTAATTTGTTATGACATCTAGTGAGCGATTGTTGGTTTCATTTTGACCATTATAGCAAAAGCATTATTTATTGGTCGCCATCTCTTGTTAGCTTTCCATTGTATGAAAAGCTCGTGCGGAACTGAGGCTTTTCTTTTTATGCGTTAATCCCTTTTATGACCCCCACTTAATTCGATTGCGTTTCCTTTCCAAACACACCAAGGTTGACTATAATTTCTGTATGGTTTTCCATCTGATCAGTTGAGTCAACCACTCCGCGCGGTAAAGACGTTAGGCTAGCGTGACTATTTTCGCGCGTATTGTACAGATATTCATTCGTATAAACAAAGGTTTGTACATCCAAGCACTGCGATTTGATAAACGAATAAAGTGGTGTTATTTGTTGTGGACAGGTATCAATTTATTGCTAATTGCTGTTAATTAACAACATTGCAGATGCCAAAATAACAACGATAGAAATATATCTGTTCTCGACTCACGTTCTCGAACATAGAACATAATATCTGGCGTCAACCGAAAATACATTCTACATTATTTAAAACTGCAAAAGTATTATGCACTCAGATAAAGCAAGTATATTTCAACATCATCGATGAGTTCTGCTTCTCGATCAGTCGTTTGAAAAGTGGTTGCTTTCGTGATTGTACCCTTCCTGCACGATGGTTAAGCAGGTTGCACTGTTCGTAACATCAACAGGTTTTTAAGAGCTGCAATCGAGTGGTCCTTGTAAACTAAAATTCAGTCTTCGAATAAAAAAGTTCCCTTTTTTATTTGACACTCTTTCCGCGGTCTATAGACAGAAGAAATATGAATCTGTGCAAATGATTTGACACATATTGCGGATCAGTGCTTGTAAAGGCTATAACGACGTGGTTTGGCGAAAACTGGTTTATGAAATGCTGAATAATCCGCTGTTAGTGAAGTGCTTTGTAAGAAGACGTAGTATATATGAAAATAAACATTACCCTAAAAGGGATGATATGTGAGTCTATGTCCTGCGTTCTAGTTCGTATGCCATTTGAAAGAAATCAACATTCAACTTTTTTCTAATTAGATTATCCTTCAAAAAATTTCTCCAATATTGCACTAGTAAATCAATTTTTAAAACCACCTCTCCTCCTTATCAAAAATAAATTTAAAGTTCATTAAGGTGAAGTGAATACGAAAACTGTGAACAAAAGCAGCAATCAGAGCCGGTAAAATAGCATTTTTTAAATTCATTTAAAAATAAAATGCTTATAGTGTGTGAATTTTGAATTACATATTTTGTCTAAATTTCTATTTGATGTATGTACATTTATTTGATTTGTTTATCCGCATTACCGTTAATCTAATGGTTTCTTTCAAATCTTCCGAATACAAAATAATTATAAGTGGACTCTTAGTCTGTTATTTCATTTACTTCACATGTGAAAATATTCAACATCATATTCGCGTCATCATCATCACGCCATACATTCGGTTGATTACTGTGTTCACATGTAATAAACTATTTCCTTTCACTGGTAACACAGGTTATCGACAACCTTTCGGTTCATCTTACAACTGTTAATCCAGCTTTAAATAATGTTTGTAAGAATACGTCTTATTGTCTTTTGTTTTGCAAAATTTAAAAAAGGAGGACCTTTTTATTATCAACTTTATTATTGAGATTTTTAGCACCTAAAATGAGTACAAGTTTAAAGTAAACAAACTTTGTAGGCCTATCTTTTATTGTTTCATTTTTCGCCAGTACCTGTGCTGCTTTTCGACAACACAACAAGAACTTTTCATCAACACAACAAGAGCAACGATTTGAACAGATTTTTTCACCTCAGAAAATCACTTCGATTTTGGCAATACATTAACGTCATTAGAGGACCCGAATGACAACAACAAGTTAAAGTGATCACATCAAATTATCCAAATAAATAAATAAATAAATAAAATGCCGTCATAATTTGATAGCAACTCTCTATTACTTTTTCGAAGGGGCGTATCAGCTTTTGTAAACAATAAATTTGATCGTCGGTTTTGCGTAACTGGTAGCTCACCCACGCATACTAACTCCACTATCAGGTAGAGGAAAATTTCCCCTATATGATGGTAGTGTTAGCATGGTGGGCTTGATATTGGCGAAAATTTCAAAATTCTTGTGCAGATATATAAGATTAGAAATGCCAAGAGAAATATATTTTCCTAATATTTCCGTTGCAGCTGAAAACTGGAAAATCCTGGGATTGAACCATGGCCTTTTGGGGTGAGAGGCAATCACGCTTACCACTACACCACCTTGCGGGGCATGATCCAAAGATTCGTCGTCGTCAATTTTTTTTTTTTATCCTGAAACTGATAGGATGAGAACATAATACGATAAAAGCGAAGACATCAAATCAAGAAGACTGGCCACTCTGCCAGAATTTAAGCGACAGATACAGTAGCGCTTCGCTCGAGTGAAGGTGGAAGTAACGCATAGAGAAAAGAGCAAATACACAAACCTTTCTTCTGAGGTTGTTATCTTTGCTATCAAATTCGTTCGAAGCATTTACCTTTGCACGGCAGATGACGCGACTGTGCCGGTCTCATAGCGGTCGAATGAGAAAATGGAAGAGTTGCCAGTCTTCTTGATTTGTTGTCTTCGATAAAAGACTATTTGTGCTCTGTCGTGTATGGGAAAGGAGGGTAAAATGCACATAGGTGGAAAATTTTTCGTAACTACTCTGTCATATATGGGAAAGGAGGTTAAAATGCGCCCCCTTTTATCTCAGCTGCTAGTTGATATGATGGTAAAAAATTACTGACGTAAGTTGCATTTTAAACTTACTATGAGAATGGAAGCAAAAATCTGTTTAATGAAAGTCATGCGGTGCCGCTGGCAACACTTGTCTGCAGCAACATGAAACTCACTCTCGATTTATTTCCACGAAAAATCTCGCAAAAGAACCCATAGTAATTTGAAATTTATAAAATTGATAAAAATTTTGGCATTAACCACGCAAGAATAGTTAGCTAGTATCCATGAACACTATAGATACTATAGATTCCATAGATAAGCGGAGGAAAAGTATAATGTAGCTAAACGAACTGTCAGTTAGTGTAGCCAAACGAGCATGACGTCATCATGGTGTTGTTTGAGGAGAAGTATTGTAATATTATGAGCACCAGAGTTGCGACTTATCACAATCACGATCGTCAAACAGCTGATGGTACACACTTAGATTTTTTTGCCGAGATGGGCACCACCGAGCAGCTCGGCAATCTATTTTGCTGGTTCTCAGTTAAACATTTGCCGAGATTCAGTTAACAATCGGGAATTTTGCCGAGGTCTCGGCTAACAAACATAAATTTTGCTGAGATCTCAGTAAAAATAAATACCGAGCCTGCTGGGTGGTGCCAATCTCGGCAAAAAAACCTAAGTGTGTAGTAACGCTTTGTCCTCGTCGAAGCTCTCTCCATGACCATCCATCAAGTTGACGAAAGAAGTAAAAAGCAACTGGTGAATGTCGTCTTCGGTTGCGATCCATCACCGATCTGGTCATTCCCGACAATCACGACACTCATCTGTGCTCGCTTGGAAGCAGTTGCTGCTTTGCATGCTTATGTGAGTGTGTTGGTGAGTGAGCCCAACAGCTTCCGTTTAATGTTGCCTGCTTTGTTTGTAACTCACACAGTCGCGCCTACCGAGACGAACTTGGAATGCGTAGGCATTGTTTCCATTTTGTTCTGTCGTTTCGCCCTTTCTCATGATCGTACTGCAGAAGGCTTCACTGTTTTCGTTGTGCTTTTCATCATCTGCAGCGAGTGTAACGTTTTGCTTGTGAGCAGCGACCATTACTGATGATTATTGTTTGCCATGGCTCTACCTCTCACTGCGTGACAAAACGTTCTGTCAGCGATAGTCGGTTGATGTGAAGACGAGTGTCACGTGAGTGTCATGATATTTTGCATCACTGATGAGCACAAAACGCTTTCCACACTCCACATTCCGTTTTATTTCGCGGACAACTGAAGAAGGAAAGATAAAGCAAACCATTCCTCGATACATTGTTGCAAAGATTTGCTTTGCACTTCATTTTGAACTTTTACGCACGAAACAAAACAAAACAAAACTGCACAACGAAGAGCTCTATAATGGCATGAACGTTTTTCACGGATGCCAGTAAGATCATTTATTTTTCATGGTTGCCAAAACAACTTTTTGTGCCTCCGCGTATCTATGGAATCTATAGTATCTATACTGAACACTACCAAAATTAACGGGTTGATGATGCAAGTTGTTGGAAACATCATTTATCTTTCGGCTCGATAGCTCAATTGGTAAGTTTTTATTTTCAACAATGATCCAAACAGGTTCGATATCAAAAGTTAATCTTGGTTAAGTTTGAGTTTACCGCCATTAGTAGGGCATGAGGTACCCCGCGAATAGTAATGTGTAAAGCATAACCTTCAGGCGTGAACCTACGAAATTCAGTAGAGGAAGAACATAAATAAATTCTAAATGTATGCGCATCAGTATGCGCATTTATTGGATTTTTCTGAGGCATACAAATCTCTGGTCACGTCTTCCTTCGGAAGGGAAGTAAAGCCGTTGGTCCCAGCCCATGTGTGTTTAATGGGTGCGATATCCTACGCAGGTGTGGAAGCTCCCTTCCTGCACATTCGGTTGCCGTCAATGGATGGCAATCGATGTCCGTCGGTGATTGGCACTAGATTGCGGAACAGAGACCTACGTTAAATAAAGGAAAGAAGAAAAGTATGCGCATTTTGCCCCGTAGTACTCCGAAAACAGTTTTGTATGGCCTTTTAATTTTTTTTTATTTATTAGATTTCTAAAGTAAATCGAATTAAGCAATTTTCGTTAAACATATCAATAGCATAGTCATTTTACCTCCCAGCTCTCCTAAGCATATCTTCTCAGCCGTTTTATAATCTAAAAAAAGTTCCATATGTCGATAAACATGTAGTATGAAATTACTTTTTTTTATAGTGTCTGACAAAAATGTTTCCCAATTTTATAAATTTAAAATAACTTTCATTTGATGACTTTTTGTCCATAGTAGTCCTGTGTGCCGCCGCTGCCACCGCCGCCTCTTGATCGAACCCATCGTCATCGGTTACACGCCACCGTTATAATTTTTGATACGCCGTCAATGTTTTTTTAATACTTATAAATTTGCTGATTGCTGATAATAATGCACAAAAGGACAACGTTTCAAAAAATAATATTGTGGGCCCCTGGTAATCTGACTGTTTTTAATCTGAGCACTAATCTGCTCGTCGTACAAATTACAAATTGCTTAAACGATATTTAGCCGACGGAATGGAGAAAAGCGAACTTGATCGATGCGAAACGGAACGCAGAATCAAAACAAAACAGCAAATAAGGCTACAAGAAACTCCGTTTTCTGATGGTCATAGGGTAACTAGAACTTCAAATTAAAAAGATCTCCGGTAATATGTACGAAGTGTCATTCATGTTAACGGGGGTCCACGGTACACAAAAATGACATTGTTTCTTTATTATAGATCAGATGTATTGAATCGGTCAACTGTTTCCGGAGGTACCGGAGTTTCAAGCACTTCCACGCTATGCTCATAGAAGTCGAAAAAATTTCAATCCATGAAGATTTCTATACAGGGCTCTTGATCGAAGCCACGTCATCGGTTTGGTGATACCGCCATAACTGAATAGTAGAGATGGTCGGGTATGTAATTTAAATACCCAAATCCGTACCTGACCCGAACCCGAAATGTATTTTTTTAAAATACCCGTACCGGATCAGAACTCGAAAATTTAGTTTTTTGAATACCCGTGGTTGAGCTTGTTTTAATGCTCAAAATCAGTACTTTCTTAATTGTATAAGATACATGAAATACTTTCTCGACTATTCAACGTTTGTTGCTACCCGTACCCAACCCGAACCCGTAGGGTACGCGTCGAGTTTCGGGAAAAATACCGGTATCCGACCATCTCTATAGGCTATTTAATCCGCGATGGTTATA